GCAAAACTAAGGGGAGAGAAGAGGGCAAAGACAGCAGCCGACCAGTTAATGCTAAACGACGAATACGAGCGCGAGATAGTAAGGTATAAGCTAATAAGGAGAGAACGCATCGAGAAACGCATCGCGTAAGAGGCTAGTCTAGAAGAGATCGAAGAGGTGTTCTAATTATAGTAAGGCATCTACGTAATCTATAGGGTTAAGGGGTTAACTTATTAAGATTACATTACTCCTTAATGTCCTAATATTACAGAAGAAGAAACGGNATACTATAGAGTCGCATTCGAGCTTATAGATCGGATTAAATTCGAGCCCTATACCTACTATAAACTTTATTAGGCGCTATAGGCAGTTTGCTATAGGTAGGAACATACACTCGTTAAAGGCAGATAAGGATATAAGATAGCACGAGGTAGATCGTGTTAGTTCTCTTACGTATTAAAAGAAGCATTAATCGCGCTACACTATTCGGATCTAAAGGGTCACATACCGGAAAAGTAGATAGAGGAGGAAATGCGTAAAGTCGGATATAATAGAGTTACGGAGCAGTTAGACCTAGAGGTAAGGATTAGGAACTGGTTCTAAAGAAAGGTCCGTATAGGAGAAGTAGAGATAAGTGAGATGTATAGGATCTTCTATATATAGGGCGTATAAAAAGGTGTAGAAAGCTATAATAAATAGGATAGTAACTTAACATCGAGATAATGCTACACTATAACTTATATACGAGGGGAACTATGTTAATTCTCGATAGGAGTTTAATAAGAAGTACACCTTACGACAATAGCTCGAATAACGGTCGGGTATGCTGCAACTTTACCTACGTATATAGGTAACTATATAAACGATAATAAGGGCACGATAGCACCCTAACATAGTAGAAGATATAATCCTCTATACGACACTATAGCAATTCACTACGACGAACCTTAGTTAAGTTAATCGGGGTCGAGAGTTATAAGAAGTCGAACGCGGACAACTTATCGCTTAATAATTACACGGCTAATGCTAATTAACTACGGCGATACTTCCGAATCTTAGAGGAAAAGGTTATCGGCCGACAACTCGTCGCTTAATAACTATATGCTTAACACTAACTATATATAGCGACGCTCTTAAATTTTAATAGAAAAGGTTGTCGGTAGATAAAATCGAGACTCGCGTTTTACTCTATATAGTCGACTAGGGTCTCCCCTCTAAGCATCAATTTTCCGGCGTATATAACAAATAATCGAATTACGCGTTACTTCCGCCCGTACTACCTTTAATTTACTACCTACGCGTACGAATATCTAGCTTTAATTTACTATCTATATATCACTTCCTACTCGGATCCGCCGTTATTACTTACGCTTCGGCACGAATTTACCTTCCTTACTCGATTTCTCGTATAAATTCGCAGCCGCCTACGCGTAGATATCTAGCTCCGATTTACTGTTTATACCTCTAATCTTGCTCGAAATCACTACTTTCACCTACGCCGAAGTACGAATCTGCTCTCCTTACTCGGATTATTACTCGAATTTACTACTTTAAGTGATCGATAGCTTTATTTCCCCGTACGAACTCGGAGGTCCCTATACTAACCCGATTAGTATATAACCTACCTGCCCCCCCCCCCCCCCTCTACCTCCGTCTCTTCTATCCTCTACTATATCATTTCCGCGCCATTAGAGTAGTAAATTCTGTCCGCGGATAACTTCTTTTAAGCTAGATCGACTTATCCGAGGATAACCTTTCCTAAACTTAGGCTATTCCTAGAAAAAGACGACCTACTAGGTAAGTGGCAGCATCCTATCTATAGAAGCACTCCGCGTAGTTTTAAGCGGCAAGATTATATATATCTTACCTAACTTCGATATATCTGCTATAGGTCTCAGATCCTATACGTTAACCGTAAGAGTCTCGCTAGCTATAAGTCGTTTAGGCGTAGTACTACCTTAAGGCTACGTCTAGCACTATGTCTCTCTTTTTCTACTCTATCGTCCCTTTCCTTTCGTCTCTTACAATTAATTATAAAAGTTGTCTACCGATAACCTTTTCCCCCTTTAATCTAACTACTATGCCTTCTTTATAGATTCAGTCATCCTAAATTATATCCTATTATAGTAACTATATTAAAAGCTAAGGCTATAACTAAGGCCGCCGCTAAAAAGCCTACTACTGCTAAAAAGCCTACTACCGCTAAAAAGCCTACTACCGCTAAAAAGCCTACTACCGCTAGCCCTAGCCCTAGCCCTAGCAACGTACCGATAGCTAAGAAGACGACCGGTAAGACTAAGCCGGCAAAGTAGCCGGCTACCGGAGAGGTTACTTCGGCATAGAAGCCCGCCCCCGAACTTATCGAGACCGTTAAGGCAATATTTAACGACTGTCGTATTAGAGCAGTATACCTGGTAAAGTAAGGCGAATTCTACTTAAGCCGGAGCGTACTCGCTAGTTACCTTAACTTTAAGGACACTAAGCAACTTCGTAAATACGCATTCGACGTAGCTGCTCTATAGTATATCCTAGCTATCCTACCTTAGTATACTATCCGCGAAGATAGCAAATGGTATACGAAGGGTCGTAGTCTGCTACTCGAGAAGAAGACCTTTATAAAGACGTTCGGTACTAACGCCGGTATATTTGCTACTAATTCCCTAGTCGACGTCGGCTTTACCGGCCCTACTCTAACATCGTAGGACATGTATCTTATAACTGTTAGAGCCGTAAGGGTACTGCTTAATAAGAGTCCTAACGGAATCTTCTAGAAGACTCCTGAAAACGCCCCGTTTAATGTCGACCTATAGGACTACCTCGCTAGATACCTTATAGAGGACGTTAGCCGTAGCTTAGAGATCCTCTAGTTCGTCGCTAGAGAGAGGAAGCAGCTACGCTAGTCTACCTCGGTCGTAAAGAACCCCTAAACTTAAAAGGTAGCAGTAGTGTACTACCTAACCGACGACGACCTTACCGGTTAAGATAGCGAGCCGGTAGCTAATAAGTTGTCCGACGATAACTTTTCCTTTATCGACACTAAAGCTCGCTAGAGAGATGCTCTTAAAGAGGACATCGCCGTACATCTAACTCTTACCTTAGAACAGAAGGAGAATCTCGCACTCTAACTTAACTTTAACGTTATAAGGGCGACGGCAGATTTTAACCGCCTAACCTCGATATAGGAAGACGGGGAGAGCCGCCCGACATTTACGACCGAATAGCTTCGTCGGTTATATAAGCAACTCGTATCGGAGGTCGACGTTATGTAGCCTAGACCTAGCGAATTAGGACTTAAGACAGTCGTCGCTACGGAGACGGAGTAGGACGCGATTAACGGTCTTAGTCGTAATAACGTAGTCCTTACTGCACTAGACGAGGTAGAGACCGCCGCTAGTAACCTAAAGCCGGTCGATAAGGCGCCGGACGCTCTCGAAAAGGACCGGGAAGTAAAGCTAGAGTTCTAGTAAGGTCTTATTAAGTTAAGTACCCCTTTACCGACCTTCGAGGAAGCTTACGTATACCTTAAGCTATTAAAGGAGACCCTCCCTAAGATAGATCCGACCCTCTATAGAACCGATCGCCTAGCCTTCTTAGCCGCATTAAGACCTTACGTAGAGCTATAGTTNAAGAAGACGACCGGCAAGACTAAGCCGGCAAAGCAGCCGGCCACCGGAGAGGTTGCTTCGGTATAGAAGCCCGCCCCCGAACTCATCGAGACCGTTAAGGCAATGTTTAACGACTGTCGTGTTAGAGCAGTATACCCGGCAAAGTAAGGCGAATTCTACTCGAGCCGGAGCGCACTCGCTAGTTACCTTAACTTTAAGGACACCAAGCAACTTCGTAAATACGCATTCGACGCAGCTGCTCTATGGTATATCCTGGCCATCCTACCTTAGTGTACCATCCGCGAAGACAGCAAATAGCACACGAAGGGTCGCAGTCTGCCACTCGAGAAGAAGACCTTTATGAAGACGTTTAGTACTAACGCCGGCATATTTGCTACCGATTCCCCAGTCGACGTCGGCTTCACCGGCCCCACTCTAACATCGCAGGACATGTATCTTGCAACTGTCAGAGCCGTAAGGGTACTGCTTGACAAGAGTCCTAACGGAATCTTCTAGAAGACTCCCGAAAACGCCCCGTTTAATGTCGACCCACAGGACTACCTCGCTAGATACCTTGCAGAGGACGTCAGCCGTGGCTTGGAGATCCTCCAGTTCGTCGCCAGAGAGAGGAAGCAGCTACGCCAGTCTACCTCGGTCGCAAAGAACCCCTAAACTTAAAAGGCAGCAGTAGTGTACTACCTAACCGACGACGACCTTACCGGTCAAGATGGCGAGCCGGTGGCCAACAAGTTGTCCGACGACAACTTTTCCTTCATCGACACTGAAGCTCGCCAGAGAGATGCTCTTNAAGAGGAAATCGCCGCACATCCAACTCTCACCTCAGAACAGAAGGAGAATCTCGCACTCCAACTTAACTCCGACGTCATAAGGGCGACGGCAGATTTCAACCGCCTGACCTCGATATAGGAAGACGGGGAGAGCCGCCCGACATTTACGACCGAACAGCTTCGTCGGTTGTGCAAGCAACTCGCATCGGAGGTCGACGTTGTGTGGCCTAGACCTGGCGAATTGGGACTTAAGACAGTCGTCGCTACGGAGACGGAGTAGGACGCGATTAACGGTCTTAGTCGTAACAACGTAGTCCTCACCGCACTAGACGAGGCAGAGACCGCCGCCAGCAACCTNAAGCCGGTCGACAAGGCGCCGGACGCTCTCGAAAAGGACCGGGAAGCAAAGCTGGAGTTCNAGCAAGGTCTTGTCAAGTCGAGCACCCCTTTGCCGACCTTCGAGGAAGCTTGCGCATACCTTGAGCTGTNAAAGGAGACCCTCCCCGAGATAGATCCGACCCTCTACAGAACCGATCGCCCAGCCTTCTTAGCCGCATTAAGACCTCACGCAGAGCCACAGTTCACTAAGGAGCTTCGACTCAAGTCGCACCAGGTCACCGGTGTCGCCATGCTGCGTATGATGGAGAGGTCGGCACTCTATGCCGCCATCCTCGCTGACGAGATGGGCCTCGGCAAGACCATCTCTGTCTACAGCACCATTGTCGCCGGCGCCCGCTATGCCGAGCGAAATGAGCGCTCTAGCATCCTTAATGGAATGGAGTATAAGCCTACACTCATTATCGCACCCTCCGGGGCCCTTCTTCCTTAGAAGGGTAATGCGCTAAAGTACTTCTCGGAAGAATTGTTCGTCTACTACTTCTTTGACACCCCTTCTACGGTAGCCGAGCACGAGCGGCTACGAACGATCGGCAGCAAGATCGAAGACTTAAAGGAACACGTCGCCTCCCTCGACCCTTACGACCCTTCCACCGAGCGCCATGTCTACATCACAACTGTCGGGACCTGGGCGCACCGGAGCGTGAAGCAGAAGGAGGGCGTTAAGCGTGTGAACAGGGCTAACGGAGGGGCTAAAAACGTCGACGCTTACCGCGAGGATGCAGACGACGAGGTAATAGAGACCATAAACGAGAATGATGCAGCCGACTGGGAACACCATTGTCAGGGCAAGTTCGGCAGAGTCGTAGTTAACGAGGCACATTGCATTAAGGGTACTCGTACTAAGGCGCATAAGGCCGTAGTGGAGACCAACGCTAATGCGGTGATCCTCCTAACTGGCACACCAATCTCGAACCGACTATTACAGTTCTCGGGCCTCCTAAGTGTTATCGTCAGACCCGACATAGACCTCGACCATCACGACGACCTCGCTAGCGACGACGATCCGCATAATTACGTCCAGTCGATAAGTGACATAACAGATGCCTTTAAGGGCATGACTGTCGAGCAAAAGTTGTCCTCGGACAACTTTTCTAAGTTCTTTAAAGTCCTGAACCCCGAGAGATTCGCCTATCTCGCCAGGTAGGTAGAGAGCTCGGGTGCTTATAACAACGCCGGCGTCGGTGCCGGGATCATCCTACCTGTATTCTACCTATGCCTGATCGCCCGCGCTTAGGGTTCGTTCACCTAAGTTGGACCCCACCAGATCTTATGCGCCGAAATCCCCCCTACCCGGGTGAAGGTTATGGAGTTAAAACTTCAATACTCACAGCGCATCAAGTACCGCGAGATTTATCTCGAAGAGGCTACTAAGGCGGCCGCCGCTGCTGCAGAGGGAGCGGATAAAGACGCCGCCACTAACGGTTTCGGTAACACGGCCTTAGTCCGACGTCTAACCATAGCCTCACA